GTGGCAATTTATGGCTTGCAAGGGAGGAAGGGGGGGGGGTGAGGAAGAGACCACCAGGTAGAGAGTGGGGAGTAAAGGATGCTGATTACCACGGAGAGAGGGAGGAGAGCGTGAATGAGGGATTGACACAAACACACACATTCATTCATTATCCCTATTAATCCACCTAATGTACATACAAGCTTTTCAAACAGGTTTCCATTATTCAGGTTTCTCTGAGGATCCCACGTTGTGTGTCTGGTATGAATGTGAAGAACAGAGTGGTCAACGGGAGCGAAAGGCTCTCCTGGATGATTACTGGAGCTCCACCACCTTTCTGAATTCATATCTAGGTCCTGGTGTTTATACTAAAGCTGTACAAAAAAAAATTACTTTCATGCCTTTTTCACACTCAAAATTTCACATTACTCCAGGAATGTCACGACTAGAGGGAACCCTTGAGTGTGAAGTATTCAAAGATAACTGATGAAGGCTGATACGTGACACTAAACGGATATTTAATACTGTCCTTGCTGCTATAACGCGAGTGTCTCATATAATTTGAACAAAAGGTGAAATGACAATTGTATTCTAACCACGCTGCTCATGCACACAGCGTGACCACCCCTCTCTGCTGCGCCGACTTGGTACAGCCCATGAGAAGCTGCTCAGTCACTGTTGCTAAGGCCCACCCTCTTGAATATAGGACATGGTCAGAGAATGTATACAGCTTCAGTCGACCGGAGGCCACGGTGCAACCCCCTGCCCCACCAACACCCCCCCTCCGCCGCCCCTGACTCCTGGATTGTATTCATACACGGTGAAACTGAGTATTAACATATGGACAGGTGGAATGTGTGTATGCCATCATTATTGCTGGTGTGCAGCCTCACTGCAGTCCAGGTAGCAGGTTTTTAAATTGAGCAGCATTTCTTCAGCTGTGGGAAGCGGTCTCCATGTGGCCTCCACATGAGGTCAGACTCAGGGTCAGTTTGCTCATAATTCAATCAATGAACAAACTGTTTCTGCCATTACTCTACTACTACAGGCCTAACCACTAGAATCACAAGTCACTAAATGCTCCTCCACAAAATCTAAGAAAAAGGTCAGTAATCAGCATAATGTGTAAGACTTTTTAAAAATCTATAAGCTCACGTTTACAGTAGGTCATCTGCAAATCGGCAGCAATCTGACATTTCACGACCTTCAGTTTAAAAGTGATTCAATTTGCTTAATTTTAGAGACTGCCGCAATATTGCTTACCCGAACACAACATTAGTCCATCTGCATGCATAATTTATCCAAACCAAATGAATCAAACAGCATGTGAGAAAGGGGGTTTTTTTCTTTGAGAGACAAGAGGGTTTCAATTGTGAAGCGGGTTTTACGAGTTAAAATGCAGTCATTCATTATTTAACAGCTATAACATTGTTTCTTAAGGATAGCACAGATGGGGTTACATATCTCATGTATTGCCAGAGGGGAAAGAAAAAAAAAAACCCACCCACACAACTAGAACATACATGTGCTTATTGTGTGTCTGAGGGGGTTTTACATTTCCACCTCCATTTCTCAATCAGAATCAATATGTGCAATAGTTTCACTCCTGCGCCACTTTTAGACACGTCGCTAAATCCCACGCTGCCCTACGCACGTTTACATCCGGTGAGCCACACCTCGTCATCAGTAGTGCGGCTCCATTAAGAACAGAACAAACCAATTATAGAACAATTGGGCCAAGTTACACAACCAGGGCAGTGTTTCAAACTGCTGCTACTCTTTGCTTCACCTCAACATGTCAGTGTCACTGTATCAATGCAGTCAGAGCACACAATAACAGTGTAAGGGCTGCAAGCAACACTTTAATTATACGTGAATCTCACAGTTACATACTGGATTAATCAAACAGTCTTTTGGGCTATAAAATATCAGAATAGAATGAAAAATGCCAATAACGATTCCCTAAAGCCTGAGCGGACTTCTACACATTGCTTTTGTAGTCCAACCAACAATCTAAAAGTTCAGTGTGTTACATTTAGGAGGATCTATTGACAGATAATATTCTTAGGGTATGTTTTTATTACTGTATAATCACCCGAATAGAAGAATTGATGTATTTTCATTACTTAAGAATGAGCCGTTTCTATCTACAGACGCCACAGGTCGCCTTCTCCAGAGTCCCCCATGTTAAACCGCCATGTTTCTACAGTAGCCCTGAACGCACAAACCAAACACTGACTGTAGATAGGACCTTTCATGTTTTTTTTGCAGCCACCGTAGTTCCTTCGACACACATTACAGCTCTTTTCTTATTCCCAAGTTGTCAAATCCAGACACACTTTAAGAAGCTGGAACATGCAAAGATTTGAAATTTTTGCTTGAAAAATTACTTTAAATATCAAACAATTATCATAATCGCTGCCGATCTATTCGCTGCTGATCATTAACCGACCAATCCAATTAACTATCACTGAAAACCAGAAATTATTCACATTTTAAAAGCTAAAACACATGATTTTTGGGGCTTTTATGCTTAATCAATTAATAAATGGTCTGTCGACTGAGAGACTAATCATTCCAGCTCTAAACATAACGTAGACTGTAATGGATTACCCATAACTCAAACAAGTTTGTACTGTAACATTCATACAAACCAAACACCGATGTGGAAACTGCCCAGAGGTAATGTAGAGGTAATGGATACATGATTTGTGGGTTTAAACTTTAACAAAAGTGCTGGTGTGGTCCTTTAAGAGTCCCTGCTTCTCAACAGAGTACCCTGTTAAGTTCCAGTCCATTGTTTCCCCACCAACTGTATACACCCAGATCCAGGATGTTTACCAAGAGTAAGAAATAACCTTGGACTGCACACAGCTCCACACACACTACTACAGCTAGTCAGACCCCTCAGTGTATAGAATACATAGTGTTAAGCTGTGTGTGGTGAATTACAGCCCAGAAAGCAAAGAAAAGTGAGAGCTAGTGTAAGATACATAAGGAAAATGTAATTTACAAATCATGCAAATGTGTTAAATATATGTATTAGCCCACAGAAAGGAAACTGTTCCATTTTAAATGCTAAAAATAGTGACGAAATATAATCTGATGAATCTTAAATTCATCTGTAAAGTGATTTTTTTTTTTTTTTAAATAACACAGGTGTAGGACATCATCCAATTAAGCTGGCAGATCTGTATGTCAGTGCCTACGTGTCATTGCTCACCTAATTCTTCACAGAGCATTTTCAGTCTCAAACACGTTCACTGCCAGACTGATAATTCTACATGAATATTCATCATTTATTGAGCTCCATTGGTCTCTGTGTAATTTGGAGTGTGAGTGTGGGTATGTGTGCGTGTCCTCATTTCAACTCGTGAAACGCTAAGGGAGGCCTAGTCAGACATGCTGGGATGTTTGGAGCCCTGCAGCCGGTTCGGGGGCCACAAATCTCAGAGCGCACAGCTCAGGGGAATAACGCAGAAAGGCCAGAGAGCGAGAGAGAGTGAGAGAGCGAGAGCGAGAGAGAGAGAGAGCGAGAGCGAGAGATCTTTCTCCGCTCTCCCTTAACTATTAATTTAGCCTGAACTAACTGGTCCTCTTCAAAATTGAATTGACAGACTATTAAGTGTGACAGTGAAGACTGGGGTCTTTCAAATTCTGCCAATTTATTCAGTCTGTTTCGTGTACTGACTGAAAAAACCTCTCTCATTTCTCGTTCTTTTCACCCACTTTTTTTTTCATAATAAAACTTTGAACACTATCAATTTTAATGACACAGAATCTTTTTTCCCCCGCTGTAGATCTTACCACAATCTGCTCTGTAAAACAGATAAAGGGGCAAAATAATGGCCAACAGAAAAACACAAAAAGCCAATAAAAGTCATTTCAAATGCAAAACACGACTGGATTTACACCCTTTAAATGAAGGCAACTGAACAGTTATTACCCCATTTCAACTCTGAGGGCACTTGTGACTTTGTGTGGCACTACTCACACTTGTTATGCTCAGTTTAACTCCTCTTCATACTTTATGAGCTGGATTTTAGATTAATAATTATGTGAATCTAGCAAAAAAAAAAAAAACACAAGAAATGTGGAAAACAGACAGATATCTGGTTCCTTTGTCCCACTGTGTACAGGGTAGATATTACCCTGGCTACTGTAAAGAAGCCAATGTATAGTGATGGATGCAGCTCCAGCTATTTGGCTAGCTATTAGCAACTGCTGCTGGAACCATTCAGCAATCAATCAATTAGGTGATCAGCAGAAAGTCGATCGTCATCAGCTTTGATAATAGAGTCATTTGTCAAAAGGACAAATACCAAATATTCGCTTGTTCAAGGCTCCCAAATGTGAATATTTGCTGCTCTTCTCGCTTTCTTATGAATGTAAATTGATGTTTTCTTTTTAGGTTTTTGGTTGTTGTTGATGTTAAAACAACAATCAGTTTGATGATGTTATCTCGAGCGCTCAGAACTTGTGATCAGCAGCTTTTCACATCATTTGCAGACAAAACGATTAACAGAAAAAAGAAAACTGACAGAATAACACATAATGGAAACTATAATTAGTTGCAGCCCCTCCAGCAACATGGTACGTACTGTATGTGCACATGCAGTCCGTGACTCATGTTCAGCTCAGTACAACAAAATAACCGGCTCCTGTGTCTTGCTTTACTTTCTCTGAATATTAAATATTGACCTCTGCTCACCTTCACCACTGCCATGCAACAAACACGGCCCTGAGCCTTAGGAGGAAGCTGGGTTCACTCTACAATCACACATAAGGCATGCATTTTCAGTCAATAAAAAAAACGTGATAATAATATTCTTGGCATATTCGGTGAGAATCAGTGCTGAATTATAAGTAGTTACATATGTTCCACAAGACAAGGACCCAAATACATCAGGCTGCGAGCTGCAACAATACGCTGCAAGTCTGCGTTCACCTGTGGCTTAAAAGTGAGACGAGCTATCGCAGGACAGAGCACACAACGCCGACCCGCCACACTCACTACTTACTTGATCTAGGGCTCCAGTGGGTGAGTCATGTGGTGGCTGTGGTGGCCTTGTCCAGGGCTCAGAGCAAAGATAAAGGGAGGAAGGGGAGACTTCGGGGGGTGAGGTCAGTTGTGGACGAGCAGCTTGGAGTCGAGATGATGGGAGCGGTGGTGGTGGGGTTATGGCTCCACGGCCGCTCTGTCACATGGCACCATCCCAGGTGCAGGGAGAAGCCTGCCGGCCTCCGACTGAGAGAAGAGAACGGAGAAAAGAAACAGCACGCCGTTAGTATGCAAATCTTCATCTGACGCTGTGCTAAAGGATGCTGTGCTGAGTTTTATTTGGCATGGAAGCTATCAACAGTCACCACATGTGCAGCAGAAAACGCCTCTTTATAATTAAGCGAACATGATTTCCATAATGTTGCACATTGGCTGTACTTTCAGTTCCCTGTCTAAGTAAAATCCTTCCCTATCCACCATATTTACCAATGTAGACACATTTATTATCAGAAGATGATACTGAAAAGGAGGAGGTAAGACAGTTGAAGAATAATAAAGACCTAGCCCACCTGCAGGCTCTCATTGTTTTTCAAAACACGCAGGTTATCCCGTACACCTATAGAATGCCACAGCAAGACGCTTCAGCTAAGAAGAGCACAAACATCCACTTTAATAAATCAGTTTCGGCACACGCAGAGCTGAAAAAGCCTGCACACAGACTTATCTGCCCCTGATGTTTGTGTTTCTTAACAAGGCATCAGCTTGATATCCGCAGACAGCTGGCTAGTTAGCTACCCAGCAGGTAGGGACGGACTGGACATGGCAAAAATCTACACACTGTTCTGTCAACTTCCGCGACTTCACCACCTAATTATCAGAATGCCTCAAACCGGCGTCCTTTTTAAGTTGCGACCGTGACCTAACGCAGCAAATGCAGCCAGCGATCATTTCGGTTTACCTTTTGACTGAAAGTAACCTTTTTGTGCTTGTGGTAATTCCATTTTAATTATGCAGATATCATGCAAAGACACACATTTGATTAATCCAATAAATTCAATATATCACCCAGCCCTAAAATACTGTGTATACATTAAGCATTAGGAGATCTGATCTTTTCGCTGGCAGTTTTTATATCGCCGTTAGGTGAGCCTGAGGATATTACACAGCCCAAGATACCAGCGAACCACATTCAGACCACAAATTTATTTGCACACTTTAAAAACCTATTTAATAGCAATGTCTCCGCTATTCAAACACTGTGTCTGTGCTCGGTGCGACAATACCACAGCATGATGCTCCGTTTAACCTCATTTATCTTGTATTTAATATCACCGTCAAAATCACATCCTTAACGTTAACTACTCTTATGGAGCACAGGGCAAAGTTTAGATGTGGGGGGTGAGCTCCATGGAAAAGAGACAGAAAACAGGTTTGCAATTAAGGATTTCAAATTTACTCGTGCTGATTAACGAGGCTCAGTGGGTGGACATCTTAGGTGTGATAGTATGTTAAAAATCACCTTCATATCGTCGATATAGTCCAGCAGTGATGTATGTCTCTGAGACTATGAAACCTGTTGATGCCAGCTACCCTCAGGGGGGGACAAGTCCACTGAATAAAGTAATCAAGTACTGTTTTGTAGGACAGCCCCCTAATAGTTGACCTGCTCAGTCAGAAGAGTCTTCCCACTTTTCATTAGTAGAATAGTCGCAGAAAAACAAACAACATAAAACCCTGTTCGGAACCTGCTCCTGAAATACTACCAAGGAGCGCACAACTGAACTGGGCTCACAGCCTCAATGGAGGCCGGCAGATTTGTAGCGGCTCCGACCAGGACTCGGACTCTGGGGATGAAGACAAGCCGGGTTCAGCGACAGTTATTTATTCAGTTTTCTGAATAATGAGACGTGTGTGATGTTACCCTGTGTTGAAATAAAGAAACTAAATGTTCAGTTCATTCAGAATCATTCCTGCCTTTTTCTGCATTTAACAGGCAGCTGTTCAAATATAGATATTTCAATAATTGAATTACTATGATTAACGTACAACAACTAGTCGACTATTGGCTTTACTTGGGGCATCGACTGTATGTCCCTGTCTGGTTCTGGTCCTCCACAGTCCTCTCTCTCTGTTTCCATCTGTTCGGCTGACACATGGTTGACCTGTGCAACAATCGATCGCTCGGTCTGGAGAAAGTGCCGCCCTAAGAGCTGCAGGATGGTGGTTTTACTGGTGGTGGAGCAGACTGTGCCCATCCAAAGCAGTGCTGAATCAATCAGCAGCGTATCACTGCGTCACAGCTCTACATAAAGAGGGCAAGTGCACTGATTTTAGACATTTGTTTGTGTGTTGTGTGGGCAACTACACAGCACGAGAGAAATGTTTTCCAAAGACTCAAACACACCTAATGATGAAATATCCCTTCTAATCCAGTTGCTTTCATAAGTCATGAGTTCTGCCAGGGCAGCCCTGTTTATGCTGTTTGCCTCTGGTCATGAAATTATCAAAAGTCAAAAGCTTTAAAAAGGAGTGGTCTGCCTGAGATACAGCAGGTTTTTCGGTGACTTATTGTTTTATTGGATTTCATCAGATCACATATTTCTCAAGTGTTACACAGGTTTTTGTTCAGCAATGAGTGCTCTCTTTTCTTTACCCGCTACACAACATGCATAGAAGCATTTGTCGATTTGGTATCTGGTCAAATCTAAAGGATGGAAATTTTATAGAAAAAAAAAAAGAAAGAGCACAATGGACAGCGTGTGAGTGGGCTTAAAAAAAGCAAAACAAGAGACTGAACATAAACCGTCTTTGGTCCTCACTTCTTGTGGTTACTTAATACATTTAAAATAACAGATAAAACTCTCAGAAACACTCAAGTTGGCAGGCTTCAGATAACGGTGGCATGCAATGCTCAAGTTTCATTGGCCAGAGGGACGAAAACAGGCAAACCATCCCTCCACAAATATCAGATAAGGATGATAAGAATGGGACTTGTGTGCTCGGCAAAGTGGCGACTTTCTCACAGCAGATCGGTGACGAGACCCTGCCAACATCAAGGTTTGATCAAGGGATCTGGGATTTAATCAATGTGATGCATTTTGAACACGGAAAACTCACTTGCCAAGGAAAACTTGCCCCCCCCATACATGTACTTAAAATACCTGACAAACTATTTTCTTTGATAACATAAAGTCAGCATTCCACACAGTCCTTGATTTCTTCAAGTTTCAGGAGGAAGCTCCGTCTGTCCTTCACTGAGACCAGCTAACACGGGCTTGTTTTGGAACAGCGTGACAGTCTTTATTCCTCATCTATCAATGCTTGTAAATAAGTACAAGGACTACGTGACAAATGGTGCAGATGTGGAAAGGTCAGCTGGCTTATACAAGCACTCGTTATCAGGTAGAAGGTCAACGACGGAGTCCAAAATCGGAGGTCTGGACTTTTTTTGACATTATAATTCAGTAGCACTTTGCATTGAATGAGTCAGTGCATCACCTGTCATAGCACAATACTGCTCTCTACTGTGTAACAGTGACATTTGCTCCCTAAAGAAAAACAGAGTGATCACTTGTTGATTGTTGACTTATCACATTAGGCCAAGACATTAGGGATATTATCCCTTCATCCGAAACACATTACCCACTGCATGTTTTACACTTGCCATCCTTTAAGTTAAGTCCTTTGTGATAAGCGCAACAGTTACAGTGAGACAGTCGTCAATGAAGTTCTTGTTCTCCCTCCGACAATGTTCATACAATATGTACAAAAGCAAAATGAGAAACAGAATTAAAGTCATACTGAAACCGAACACACAAACTTCACATCATGGAGCCTCAACTTTCACTTTCAAACATCTGCATGTGAGAACTTCAGCTGTCTCAGGGAGGAACATTTCAGCCCATTTTCTGATCAGAGACTCTGAATCCAAATATTAATCCAAGCAAATTTTCTCACATGTGATAAATGTGCTCAACATTTAGTCGCACTGTTTAAGGTTTGCAGTGAGACTAAAGAAAGCAATATGATAACTTGCTTTGGTCGCAATGGAAAAGAAAAGACAATATTTCTAATAAGTATTGATACGTTATTATTAAGAGAAAGGGCTGCATGATATGGTAAAAAAGAAAAATCATATTTAGATGACTTTTTTTTTTTTTACAGATATTACCATTGCAATAATAATAATAATAGTAATAATAATAACAGCCGTAATAATTATTATTGGTGCCCTGATAGCTCACCCGGTAGAGCTGCTGCACCACATACTCTCTCTCTCTCACCCCTTTCCTGTCACTCTTCAGCTGTCTCTACCAATGAAAAGGCAATAAAAGCCCCAAATAAATAAATAATTAGATGTTAGCTCCCTCTTGAGTTTTTGGAAGGTCGTGAAAACCGTAGTTTCGAGCCCTGTACAATAATTCTCATGCATCCTGATACAAAACGTACCTGAATTTCCTTTACATTAGAATAATACAGGACTTTTCTTTGTTTTGATAGCAGCATTACATATCGGCTATCGGCAGCAATACTCATAGGGCACAGGTCATCAAAAAACCACCACGTTCAGAGATTTCTGTGGTGTCCTGTTTGCTTCACTTCACAAAAACAACGACGGGAACGAGTCAGCGTGGAATTTTTCTAACAATCCTGCATGCTGGTCGCCTCACCTGAACGCTGGCTGCAAATAACATGTTTATCATCTTTCCAACCTCTTGAGATGCTGCCACACATCAGGTGACGCTTCACAATGACGAAAACAATTAATCACGTCACGGCTAATTACAGTTGAGTAGGTCAATAATTACAGCGCTGTGCGTCCGGTAATGGCAGCAGTTTGTTTTTCTACAGCACATTCAATGCACCCCGCCTTATCTTCCAACATTTGTTTGTGTAAACATGACACTTGACATTGGATGTTCAGCAAACATTTTCAAAGAAACAAAAGTGCCCCACCCCCGCGCGCACACACACACACACACACGCACACACACACTCTCTAAAACTCTCCTGTGGGAGTGGGAGTACAATTATAGACATTACAGTAGGTATATTCATAAAACCTTGGCAGTCAGCTCACTTATAACAACCTCCCTGTTCACACTTCTTCACTTTCTGATATATCTCAACTCAGAGTTTTGGCCAATACAGAGTTTGAATCAGCTTCCCGTATTTTATACATTGTTCCAGGTTACAAACTGTAGCCTATACCTCAATGTGTGTGCTTTCTGTTCACGTCAACACGT